GCGGGAAAATCAAAAGCAGTGAGAATGCGCTCTGCTGTCAACATAAGGTCACGAGGGCTAATTATTACAATGAGGTTTCTATTAATCTCTTCATGCTACTCCTTGAATTATGATATCTAGAGAACACGTGACAAGCTAGAAATAGATCACCACAGGAATCCAATAGCATTGATTCATTACGGCATGCTGTCTTCCAAAGTACATAATATCTGACGTTGAATTTGATGGTCTAAAAGACAAACCAATAAGACAATCATTTTTTTATTCCAGCTGTTTTACCTAGGCAACATTGTATTATATTCGATTCTTTTGTTTACTTTTTTCTTGTTAAATGTGTTTTAACAAAGTTCTTTTAATTTTATCGAAATATACCATAGTAAATAAAGTGTAAGTATAATATTTTTAACAAAGTCAGGCAGCACCAATATTTTGTGTGTATTCACATCATGTAGCTTTATAATATAGCCTTTCTAAAACATAGTATACTTTCAAAGCTTGGTTCTACTGTGCTACACTTGATACACTCTGAAATGTACAGAACACACACATTGGGTTACCTGTGGTCTTGCTGTGCTATACCTAATACAATCTGAATTGCACAGAACACACACATTGGGTTACCTGTGGTCTTGCTGTGCTACACATAATACAATCTGAATTGCACAGAACACACACATTGGGTTACCTGTGGTCTTGCTGTGCTACACCTAATACAATCTGAATTGCACAGAACACACACATTGGGTTACCTGTGGTCTTACTGTGCTACACAATACAATCTGAAATGCACAGAACACACACATTGGGTTACCTGTGATATTACTGTGCACAAGCATTGGGCTACCTGTGTTATTACTACAACTACTTCTATGGTACAGCAATAGAACGTTCTTGAAGCCATCTCTCATCCTATTTATAGYCATAAGCGCGCGTGCTGCCATCTTTATGAAATGGTTGCAATCTTGTTGCTTGAATGCAATGCGTTAACCAAGTATAAACTAAACATGCATCGAAAGTTCAGTAATCTTCTGCATGCAATCAAGTAATATTACTGTTCAGGACATTTGAAGAATCACGTTATGAGCCTACAAAATAGCGCGTATCCATTCAATCTTCAGATCGATCATTAACCAGGACGCCATGCCACATGAGATACATCTGCCTTGACAGTGAATAATCTGATTACAATGTACTGAAATCATATTGGTGACTGCTAAAATCAAATCTAATATTCATGTAATATCGAATATTYAAGCGTCTACTCGTTGCAGTCAATGTCAACTTTAAGCAGAACTTTATTCTTACCAATGTCATATTGTTTAGTTTGCAATTTTGTGGCATTTACCATACAYGTRCTTTTTGTGGATGASCAGGCCTCGTTTCTTCAGTTCTCTAYGRATGTGTGTCGACAGGTTCAGTCTTCTTTCCAGTCGCCTTCCTTTCAGCTTTCTCTTCTTTGAGTTCGCTTTACAGAAAAGATTTGTCGAGCAGGGGCAAGTGAAATCTGCCGGCTGAAACAACAGAATCAGGGTTTAGTTCACTTGCTCATAAACATCGAGCCTTTATTGGTGAAAACTTTATGTCAAAGATAAAGATGAACTCTGATTGAATGATTGAAATAGWCACGTGACTTAGTGCTCTCTGATGATGTGTAAATAAAGAGAAGATAAACTCTAAAATGAACATCTAATTTAGTACAAATCCGCATCAAACTAAATCTACTTTACCACAGGCAGCCCAAGTTCTGTCACGTTTTCCATCTTCTTTTAAATTTAAACAGAAGCCCTGGGTTCCCTGTGGTCAGTTGTGTTGTTGATTAAGCCAGCCTACCTGCGTAACACATGGATCTCCTCTTGTAGAAATATGCTTACATATGCCAAGCTTGGTTAAGCAACACATGCCGGGTCCACAGTCACCATCGCGACTACAGTTTCCACTGGGTGGATGTAGTGCTACCATTGATRTKGTGCACACTCCCAGACCTGTCTGTTGTCTTCTTGTTGGAGAACAGCGACGTCCACTGCTGCATTTTCGTCTTCGTTTTTTAGTTGYAGCCACAGAAACATGCTGATGACAGAATTCATTYATATTGCAGTCAGAATCTTTGCTGCACCTGCCGTGTTTGGGTGGAGGTGAAGGCAAACCACTACCAGACAGRTTTTTAACTTGTAAACAAGTKTTGGTCATATTTCGACAGTATTGTCCAGGAAGRCAGTCAATATCTCTGGTGCAGTTATACTTTACTGRTGGTGTTGTTACGTTCTGAAATACTGTCAGTCTTTCTAAACATATTTTGAAGAAATCATGGCAGTAGCGATTCTTGCCACAGGTTGAGTCATTTCTGCAGGATTGAGTAGAGCGTCTTGCAGTAGACATGGTTGGTATGACTGGAATATCCAGACACTTGTGAAAGGTTTTGTGGCAGTATTTATTRTTTGTGCAGTCAYCGTCGTGCTTACAGTCTGRTGCTGTGGGTTTCTTGTTATTTCTTGTTGATGGAGGGGTGATAGTCTTCAKACAMATTTTGAATATTGAATGACAGGTTTCATTAGCCAWGCATTTCTTGCAGATTGGCTTTGGACTTCGTCTTCCCGGGACAGTCAAGGAGCCTTGTTTTGCTACGCATATCTTGAGCAAAGGATGACATGTTTGAGAGATGGCATTGCAGTCCACATCTTTTTTGCACTTCTTGGCCTGTTCAAGGAAAGAAAAATATATTAATATGTACTAAGTTTGTTAGGCGTTACTTTTGCATTGGCGATGCCCGTGATGATGGCAGCGGAAAGAATTCCAATCTGATTTTCAAGTGAAGGACCTCTTTGATACGACAATACAGTTTAACAAGTAAAGTCCAACATGGAACCCCATTCAAGACATCAGTGCTGAATGGAGTATCGACCATCTCATGYCACCATAGACACATCAGCATATTCATTTGATTGTATTTGTTTAGTTTGTTTTTAGCATACGAACMAAGGACGAATCGAGTACTCGGTTCAAGAATATGAACAAGGATGGAAAACAATTGATCTGCATGTGACTGTATCCCGTATGTAATCTACATACACATTACGAGCATGTGCAAACACATTTTCAGTCATGTGTCCTGTCTGGCGAGCTATTAATAGACTAGTCACGTGTTTGCAACCTTCGTCATAGACCTTTGCTACAAAATTATAATATTAATTCTCCAGCAAGAAAAGTCATAAGATCCATTCAYGATCAGCTTTAAGGCTTCAAGAATATAACACAATTTCTTTGAGTAATGCTGCAGTCGTATTTCCTCTGGTGGATGAGGTACACWGCACTTGTTGAACGAATTAGTACTAAGACACAGCAGACTTGATGAACTTTTACAAATATCACAGAGAATAAATAGACTCTTATCAAGATGAGATGTGTTCATAATAATAACTCTCGCCTGTGTCAAACGAGCCAATAGAAACGTTTTAGTTTACTCAGTGTTGAGCATTTCACTCTCTCCAAGTTCAAAGTTCTTTGAGTGGAATTTTGATTTGCTTTGAGATTACGTTGATTTCTGTCAAAATGTTTGAATTTGCAGCCATAACTCATTGTGAGATGATGAAGAAATCTAGGATCGCGTGCAAGGATCCGTTGCTTAATATCCTTATTATGAGCACGATCGATAGATTGCACCGATATCTACCTCATTACATTTATAGACTACCTAACCACGCCTTCTGTCTGGGACATTTTTCAATTCATTCGCGTAGCTTTCTGCTGCGTCAAATAAAGTAAATCTCTGTAAAAGAAAACTTACGACTGACAAACATTACTCAACATTCTACTGTCTTGGCTCTTTACTACCAATTGATATTTTCACCATCAGTTTTTTTTCGCATTTTTTTATTTACATTAAAGTGTGCTTCAGTTAAAAAAAAGTTTCCGCTGTATYCTAACCAAGCTGATATTTGTACGAGATTCTTTCTACAGAGAAGAGATACTGAATCCACATAAAAAGAATAAAGATAAACACACATATTACAACACTAAAGTCATCTGAAAAATCCAATTGATTTTTGGAAAACAAATTAATTGAAGCAAGATTATATTTTCATCTTTTTTTTGCCCCTTTTGGCGCAATTTACAAAAGATAGAGTTAATCGTACCAATGTTCTATTTCTAATAATATTTTGTAGTTTTCTAGCACCTTGTTTGCTAAAAGACTCAAACAACAAACACAGGACTTACATCTCATCAGTATTGTACAGCTCTTCAGTTCGACGTTCTTATTTTGATATCTGTCAGCATGAGTTTGTGTTGTAAGCTGTAAAGCTAGATTATACTCACCAAAAGTGCTGTTGCCCTCTTCGTGCTGATCACGGCCAGCCACAACATCACAGCATTAAGCCACACAAAGTTCTTCATTGTCAGTCGAGTAAGTCCACAACACTTCTTGTTAGTATCTGTTCATAAGATCCGCTATGTCCTTGCTGTTGACTCGCACGTGAACCCTTTTCTCCTAATGAGTATTGCAGTTCTTAGGTATGCCTTTATTAAATGACCTCTTTGAAACGACTCATGCTTTGACAGAATACAGACATTTAGTCTGGCCTGGCGAGTTTACTGCCTTTTAATCTGTATGCTGTGTGTCAGTTCTTTGAAGTCCCGCCATAATCAAACATGGTATTAGAGGAATGATGTTGGATTGGGGATCTTTATTTACTTTCTTCCTCTTTGTAATTAATTTGTCGGCTTGATTTGAATACTTGTCTTGTGTACAGAAGRCAACCAACAAGTACTCCGCGGAAGGATGTTACGTGAATCAAGGCGGAATAGAAACCAACAACTCACACCAGAATCTCGTCAAAGGGGGTATTTAAAGACCCTGACTAAACTGTTCAACATGAAACTGTATTTGAACAACAACTATTAATAGTGACAAATTCATTACTTGATATGTGGATCCGTGATGGCACTGTATAGTCCATCTATTCAACGCGTGAGGGCTGCTCGCTTTCACTAAGATAATCTGCCTTCAAGTKTAATGTCTTAAATGTGTTCTGATTAAAGATGTGCCGTTTGATGCGACAAGAAAATCAGTTCTGACGAGTTTTTAAGAACTTTTCATTTTGTATTTACCAAGCATTTTCTAAAAATAGACTCCRATGATCAGGTTGGGAAAAACTGAAGTGATTGGTAAAAAACCATGTACCGCGTGGGGCGGCTACAAATTAATGATATTAATGAACACTGCCTTTCTTTGTTCGCTATGGGCCAATGTGTTTGGCGGGTTTTCAAAAAGTTCAAAATTGCACGAGCCCTATAGGGCGAGTGCTATTTGAGCTTTTTGAAAACACGTGAGTGCAAATTTATTCCAAAGTGCACGAGAATACCATGCGATTTCTTGTTAATACTATAGATGCAAAAATTTCGAACCTAAATTAGATAGAAAAAAGACGTGTTGGAAAAAATGCACGAAGCGAAGAACTCGTTTGTTTTTATGAAAAAYCGGTTTATAAAACAATATTCTATTTACAAAACAGGAAAGAAATATAAATAACAAAGATTACTTTTGATCTTTAAAAAATAAAAACACGTTTTTTTAGAAATCTTTTTTTTCATCTTCAAGACTTCAAATATTTGACATTTTTTTGAGAAAACAAGTAAGCATATTCGGAAACATTCTGCAAAACTTACATAAATCATCAAATATCCTCTTTTTTCAATTCCTAAACACTCAAAGGAAAGTTGAATAAGACGGGGGGGGGGTGGTGAGTTGTGCTAAAAATCATATAAGTGGGTAAATGTGACTATTCTCACTGAATAAATTAGCGCGGAGCAGTATAAATTAACCCGAAACACGTGCTTCGTCGCATTACCTCGGTCCATGCGCCTGTTCCTGGTCCAATTCCTGATCAAATTCCTGGTCAAATTCCCGCCGCGTACAACGAAGGTGATGGTTAAAACCCGCCAGGAGACGTATAGTCTTTAATTTCATTCTATCAGTCCTTTAGAACGTCGGGTTCACGTGTAGTTTTGCAACTCTTGCCGCTACAGCCGGGGTTGGGCTAGTTAGCTTATACAGTTAGAACGAACTYGAGCMAAACCGAAGTAGCGTGGCTCAGGGAGCCGAGTTTATACACGAGAAACATGTGAGCTCTGGGAGCTAGATACGAATTAGCGTGTGGCTCAGGGARCCGAGTTYATACGCGAGAAAACGTGAGCTCTGGGAGCTAGATACGAATTAGCAGCGTGGCTCAGGGAGCCGAGTTTATACGAGAGAAAACACATGAGCTCTGGGAGCTAGATACGAATCAGTAGCGTGGCTCAGGGAGCCGAGTTTATACGAGAGAAAACACATGAGCTCTGGGAGCTAGATACGAATTAGCGTGTGGCTCAGGGAGCCGAGTTTATACGYGAGAAAACGTGAGCTCTGGGAGCTAGATACGAATTAGCGTGTGGCTCAGGGAGCCGAGTTTCAACTTCAAGGGCAGTTGTAAGGGAAAGAATTACGATTCYCCCACGCCGCCAGCCTTAATCATCAGCAATTCCCTGTCGTGTCTCGCATTTTATCATTTCGTCTCAGCTACCTTTCTGGATTGGGTTGCAACGGGCGTTCTCAATTTTCATGGCCGCTTGGGCGAATGCATACCTCCTCATCTAGTCCTTCCGCTCACAGTTGAACCTTCAAAACCTAGACTCTGTCACGATGAACGCTTCCTTAATCTCTGGATAARAGATCTCCCTTTCAAATTAGATCATTTGCCTGACCTCCCACGGTACGTGTTCSCGGGACACTTCCAGACAGTCTTCGATGACAAGAATGGGTACCAACATGTTAGACTCCATCCAGACTCGGAAACCTATTTTGGTTTGTGCTGGGAAGATTGTTTTTTCACGTTCCGCGTCTTACCATTCGGGTGGAAGACCAGCGCTTTTATTTACCACAATTTGGG